TTCGCATTTCTCAGAATAAAAAGGGCAGAATAAAAATTTTATAAGCTCGTTTTGTCAAATATAGAAATTTTAAGATATAAAAAATTAAAAATCATACTAAGGTTTATGATGTTAAAACATCTTAAAATTTATAAATATTTTATTTTTATTTGAAAGATTTTAAAAATATAAAAATTGCTAGATCTGAAAGAATTTTACAATTATTTTAAACATTAAAAATTCTGAAACTTCTAAGATCTCAAGAGAAATGTTAAGATTTCTTAGAAATTTTAAGAATTTGAAGAATCTTAAAAAGTATTTTTCAAATTTAAAAAAATTTTGAAGTATTTAAAAAATTCTAAGATTTCTATTTATTTCAGGAATTGTAAAATTAGTAAAGATGTTAATTGTTTAAAAAGAATTGTAATATTTTTAAAAGTTTCCGAATTTTCAAGGGAACTTTATATATTTTAGAAATTTATAATAAAATTTTTATAGGAATATTTTTAAAATTTTGAAAATTTTGTATAACAATTTTGAAAATTTTATGAGAATGTTCTATTAAACAAATTATCAAAATGCATTGCGTTTTATGTACAATTACCTGATCATTAGTTTATAATTTACTCGCATCTCTGTATATTTTGTTTTAAGACGACCTTAATAACGAATTATTAAAACGCGTGAAATGGATACGCGAAAAGAAAGTCAATGAGCGGAAACCAACCGATTGTGCGCGCATATAAGCAATTGTAAATCGTTATGTTAATATCGTTGCCGGGGTTTGCCGGGGTCGCGACGGGTCAACATGACGTCAGCGGATGCAGCGGCTCTCTGTTGTGCGACGAACCGATATATTGTATGTATGTATATATCGACAATATCAATAAAAAGAATATTACAACATTTTTTCAGTTACAAATATTTTTTTCAGATGCTATTTCTTAATATATATAGTAGTTGCTCCAAAAGAATTTTTAATAGTACGTATATGTGCTCTAAACAATATTGCTCTAATCTATATGTAATTTCATATTTATTTATTATTTTGTTTCAATTGTGAACAAAAACCTTGTGAGGAGATATTTATTATACAAAAAAAGTCTTTTAAAAATTTTAAGAAGTTATAGTTTTGCAAATTTTCTAAGTTATAATATTTTCCATCAATATAGCCGTGTAAAAGTATCAGTATAAATATTTAAGAAAAAAGAGAAGAAAGAAAGTAAATAATTTTTTTACCAAGTAACCTCTTTTTAAAGTAAGTAAATAATTATAAATAGTAAATTAAAAATTTTTTCTCTTTTTAATTTTCTTTTCTTGCGCTTTAAAGCTTTTTTCTTTTTTTCTCTCTTTAAACTTGATTTTTTTTCTATTTCCAATTTTATTTTAATTTTTAATTCTTTACATTAAAAATTTTATATATTTTAATTTAACGAATGAAATATTGAATATAAATATTTAATTAATTTTAAATAATGCTTATCTAAACAGTTATAATTTCAATGTAGCCGTTATAGCTATTTGAGATATATAATTTCTTCTTTTTTATTAATATTTTTTATTAATATTACAAGTGCGCTGCTCTCACTCAACTTCTGCATAATGTAAAAACAATATAGTTTTTTGTATCATTTTTTCAATATCAACGGAATATAGAAAACTGAATGAGTGCGCATCATTGTGATTACAAATTCATTATTCTCTTATTATGCAATATCTGTTTAAGTGTCGCCCCCTGTCTTCTATATTTCTTATTACAAACTACTTCAATAAATAACTTATCGACTTTGATATCATCAATCGTTAAAATAAAACTCTTTTTTTCGGCTATCATTCTCAAAGAGAATTTTTTTAGAATGAATCAATTTTAAATTAATAAAAATTATGAAGAGTTGCATGTGGTTCAAGGAGAGAAAATTATCGTAATGGAGAAGAGTTCTTATTTAAGATTATTGTTTTGAAAATTGCGAAATTATTAATAATATGTTATTGTTATAAACCACAGATATATATATTTTGTATATATATACATATATATACAGCTTTAATAAAATATATTATTACCACCCCTTAAGTATACATATATTCCCCTCACCGTGTGAGTTGTGTGTGTGTGTGTGTGTGTGAATAAAAATAAACATACTACTTTTATTAAATATATATATACTGATAAGTAAATATATAAATGTATGCGTCGTATATAAAAAAGTAGAGTATTAGTA